TGCCCATAATCGGCCAACCACTGAAGGCCTGGCTGCTGAGAGGGACAGGCTAGAGCTCCGTGGGTTATCTGATGCGGTGATCAGGACCATACAGGGTTCACGTGCCAGTTCCACTTCTAAGATGTATGCCAGTAGATGGAACGTGTTTTCACAATGGTGTGTCACACAAGGTGTAGACCCCATGAGCTGTCAGGTTGAGAGTATTCTCTCTTTCCTACAGCTTATGTTTGACAAGCAGAGATCGCCCGCCACCATTAAGGTGTTTGCAGCGGCGATTTCAGCTTGTCACGAGGGGTTTGGCAGAGACAATGTCTTTAGCCACCCTCTAGTGAAACGTTTCCTATTAGGAACGCGGCGGCTTAGGCCAACACCTATAGCCACGCTTCCTCAGTGGGATTTGGCTTTGGTACTCGAAGCGCTATGTAAGTCGCCGTTCGAGCCATTGAATCAAATACCCCTCAAGATGCTGTCTTTGAAGACAGCACTGTTGCTCGCTTTGACTACGGCTAAGCGTGTTAGTGATTTGTGTGCTCTTTCGACGAGACCCGACTGCCTGGCCATTAATGGCGATCTGAGCAGAGCGGTGTTACGGTTATGGGTTTACTACTAACCCGGCATTTGTGCCGAAGGTTATTAGGAGTTCATATAGATAACAGACCGTGGAGCTGTGGGCTTTTTCTCCCCCTCCTCATAGGGAGAGGAGTGAGGAAAGGCTCCATCGCCTGTGCCCAGTGCGCGCCTTGGCGTGTTACGTCGAGCGCACAGCAGCGATTAGGTCATCGCCTCAGCTGTTTGTGTGTCATGGTGCTGCTGCACTAGGTAGACCACTTTCGAAACAGCGTCTGTCTCATTGGCTCTGTGAGGGCATTGAGACAGCTTATGAGGCAGCGGGGCGACAATTGCCTCAGGGTATCAGAGCTCACTCCACTCGTAGAGTAGCAGCTTCTACTGCCCTTTTCAGAGGAACAGGGGTAGAGGATATATGTAGAGCGGCGTCATGGTCAACACCGTCTCCATTTATCCGTTTCTATCTCTTGGATATGTCTTCTAACTCTTTGGCTCAGTCTGTACTCAGCGTGGCTGAAGGGAGACTTTGAGCTAGGAGGAGAGGAATGCAGGACTGTGGAGACAGGGTCTCTATCAGGTCCGCTTCTGATAGGACATATTTTGGCATGACTCCTGACTGACAGGTTCAGTACAGTAGAGGGCATGTATTGATCTGCCCACCAGTGATTCACTGGAGTGAGGCGGAATGATGGGGGATAATAGTAGTAACTTTGTTACGATACTATTAGACCGGTCATGACAATTTGACGGAATGTGACGTCATCTATCTGCTTGTTCAGATTAGTATGAATCATGTTCTGGGATCTGCCCACTAATCTCTGGGGTTCCATTGATTGAGTGAGGCGGCCTACCGTGTACACAATGTAGAGTGACACTTTGTGTTATTCCATTAGTGGTCGGTAGTATTGTAACAGGATATTGAGGTACCATCTATCTGCTAGTACAGATTAGTATGGCCTGTATTCTGGTGATCTGCCCACTAGTCATTGGTGTTGCCATTGGACTAGGTGGGGCGGGTTTTTAACCGATGATGCAGTATATTGTGACACTTGTATGGTTACAGTGGTTGCAGTACTGCGGGAATTGGTTGCAGCCATTGCTAGGCCTGACCTTTTCATTTTGATGGGAAGGGTTGGGCTCGGCAGGGAGTACATTTTGGAGCGCTACGCTCCGCCTTAAACCAATAGGAGCAGAGCTCCCCTATGGGGCGGAGCTCCACGATATAGAACGATTAGTTACCGGAGTGTAACTCCAGTTCTATGAGTGGAGCGGAGCCCCATAGGACTTAAGGCCCTGCCGACCCTCTCTAGTCTCGCTGAAGATAAATATCTCGGGAGGCTGATTGAGGGGAGGCATCCCCTCTTATAGGGACACCTGTACTCCTATTGGCTGCAGGTGTGTGCATAATTTTGTCTCAGGCTGATGCTGCCTTAGGGCAGTGGGTAAACCAATAGGAGCAGAGCTCCCCTATGGGGCTCCGCTCCACTCATAGAACTGGAGTTACACTCCGGTAACTAATCGTTCTTTGGGGTCCAACAATGTAGGACCAACAACGTAAGAGCCCCCTCAAACCACATCTACAGTACAAATTGTATGATCATACAGACTGAAAGCATCAGGAATGCCACAAGTCCTAAAATATAAACAGAAGAAGACAGTTGTTAAATAACAAGTTATTTTGTTTATTTCAAAATCTCTCATTGTAGTTAGAACATAAGGCATTTTCCTGTAGCATCACAACTTGTTTTGATAGTAATAGAGCTCTGATAATATGCAGTTATCTATATTATAATACACTAAGGATTCGAAGCTGCAGGAGGGTGTCCTCCTACAATTTAGGGCCAATTTGATTCATTTTAAGCTCAAAAGAAGTGCGTCGTCCTCCCACATGATATTGTCCACTTTATAATCCGCTGTGTTTTGTATTTTTGTTTATTATCCCGTTTTTTGTGTTTGGAACTACTTGAGTCCGGTCTCGAGGCCAGTTTGCTTCATCAGTAAAATAATCCTGCAGTACCAGGAAATGTAAATTATTATGTGTATTACACTGCTCAAAAAAATAAAGGGAACACTAAAATAACACATCCTAGATCTGAATGAATGAAATAATCTTATTAAATACTTTTTTCTTTACATAGTTGAATGTGCTGACAACAAAATCACACAAAAATTATCAATGGAAATCAAATGTATCAACCCATGGAGGTCTGGATTTGGAGTCACCCTCAAAATTAAAGTGGAAAACCACACTACAGGCTGATCCAACTTTGATGTAATGTCCTTAAAACAAGTCAAAATGAGGCTCAGTAGTGTGTGTGGCATCCACGTGCCTGTATGACCTCCCTACAATGCCTGGGCATGCTCCTGATGAGGTGGCGGATGGTCTCCTGAGGGATCTCCTCCCAGACCTGGACTAAAGCATCCACCAACTCCTGGACTGTCTGTTGGTGGATGGAGCGAGACATGATGTCCCAGATGTGCTCAATTGGATTCAGGTCTGGGGAATGGGCGGGCCAGTCCATAGCATCAATGCCTTCCTCTTGCAGGAACTGCTGACACACTCCAGCCACATGAGGTCTAGCATTGTCTTGCATTAGGAGGAACCCAGGGCCAACCGCACCAGCATATGGTCTCACAAGGGGTCTGCGGATCTCATCTCGGTACCTAATGGCAGTCAGGCTACCTCTGGCGAGCACATGGAGGGCTGTGCGGCCCCCCAAAGAAATGCCACCCCACACCATGACTGACCCACCGTCAAACCGGTCATGCTGGAGGATGTTGCAGGCAGCAGAACGTTCTCCACGGCGTCTCCAGACTCTGTCACGTCTGTCACATGTGCTCAGTGTGAACCTGCTTTCATCTGTGAAGAGCACAGGGCGCCAGTGGCGAATTTGCCAATCTTGGTGTTCTCTGGCAAATGCCAAACGTCCTGCACGGTGTTGGGCTGTAAGCACAACCCCCACCTGTGGACGTCGGGCCCTCATACCACCCTCATGGAGTCTGTTTCTGACCGTTTGAGCAGACACATGCACATTTGTGGCCTGCTGGAGGTCATTTTGCAGGGCTCTGGCAGTGCTCCTCCTGCTCCTCCTTGCACAAAGGCGGAGGTAGCAGTCCTGCTGCTGGGTTGTTGCCCTCCTACAGCCTCCTCCACGTCTCCTGATGTACTGGCCTGTCTCCTGGTAGCGCCTCCATGCTCTGGACACTACGCTGACAGACACAGCAAACCTTCTTGCCACAGCTCGCATTGATGTGCCATCCTGGATGAGCTGCACTACCTGAGCCACTTGTGTGGGTTGTAGACTCCGTCTCATGCTACCACTAGAGTGAAAGCACCGCCAGCCTTCAAAAGTGACCAAAACATCAGCCAGGAAGCATAGGAACTGAGAAGTGGTCTGTGGTCACCACCTGCAAAACCACTCCTTTATTGGGGGTGTCTTGCTAATTGCCTATAATTTCCACCCATTCCATTTGCACAACAGCATGTGAAATTTATTGTCAATCAGTGTTGCTTCCTAAGTGGACAGTTTGATTTCACAGAAGTGTGATTGACTTGGAGTTACATTGTGTTGTTTAAGTGTTCCCTTTATTTTTTTGAGCAGTGTATAATGAATGGACATTTTCTGTAGGGGTTGATACATTTTTCGTTAGGGTAAATGAAGTCTGGCATTTTAAAGTAGAAATTACAAACTTTAGAATCCTTTCATACGCTACAAGTTTGCATTTCCTGCTGTGCAGGCAAATTCTCAGCAAAAAAAAGTGATCAAATTAAGATCCTACATCTGTATTGAGTGTCTTGGTGTCGGATAATTTTTTACTCGGTCTTGATTCTGTCTCCTCGTAATTTCTTGCCGCACATAATAATGATGCGTCACAAAAACATATTTATATTGTAGGCTACTTTTTAGTTTTTCACAGATATAGATAACATTGTTTAGGCCTATCAAAAAATGCGCCAGCGACACAAGCAGCAGCGAATGGGCATCTTGCTGACTTTAGTAACGGTTCAAAAAGCAAGTGCCAACGAAAACAGTAGCCTACAAAAAGTTTTTTTAAATGCTCCGGCATTGAAAAGGTTGGTAGCCCAGGCTATTTGCTTTGCATGAGGGTGGAATTTCATTGAATCTAAATATTAATTTCCAATGATTTCCTGCCCATAAGGTTGGGGTGACGCTAGTAATGTACTATATTTTGATAACAGTGCCACTTGTTTGTGCAATCAAAATGTAATCCATTATATAAAAAGCATACTTTACCATAATGAGAAAATTGATATTTTTCTGTGTTAGCAGTTGTCATAGAGACAGCTGGTCTGCTTATCACTAATGGAGTAAAAAGAGTGACATGAGCAATATGATGATGACAACAATGCTTTATATGAATATCAATGGTATTTTATGTTATACACCAATAGCATCAGGAGCAACCATACCTGAGAAGTGCAGCTTGGTCTCTTCATATTCCCCATTCTGTGAAAGAGAAAGAAAGGGGTCGAAATTTAGACATTTTTACTAGGTTGGCACTTGGCAGGCAGTAACAGAGGAGAGGAAGATGAATTGTATGAGTTGACCTACCTTGGTGGTGCAACCAATAGTTAATGTGACATCGGGACATTCACTGAGGATGACTTTGCCAGAGAATACCTCCTTGCATGAAAAACTGCATTCACCTTTGCCATTTTCGTAGTAGGCAATGGGCTGCAGTAAGAAAATAATTGTTCATATGTCATGTCTCAACTGACTTGGCTCCTGCCCCTCTGCATATCGTTGATGATACCACCAATGGTGATATGTAAAAAAAAAAATAGTACTAATAAAAATGTCTGACTTCACATTGTATCTACTTGTCATGACCACATATATAATAGATTACCTTTTTGCCAGTGGTCCAGCTCTTATCACATTGGGGATTCACTGCTCCAAATGGTGCTTCAAGTGTGTTTGTACCCTCTTGACATGTGTAGTCAATTTGCTTCTCCACTACAGGGGCAGCGGACACGGATACTAAAAAAGTGAATAAAGAAAAGGACGAGTGGGATTGGGAATCCACCTAACACCAAGAAAGGATGATGTCAACCTAAATCCACTGTATTATGCAGCATACTAGGCAGAGTGTCATCTTAACGGAGGTGGTCACTATGGTGTATTTGTATTTATTCCGGATCCCCATTAGCGGCTGCCAAGGCAACAGCTACTCTTCATGGGGTCCAATCACAATTACATACAATAAAACAATACATAACACAACACATTAATACACACTACTCTACCATAACATATCTACAATACAAAATCAATAATACAGCAAAATAAAAATATTAAAATGTAGGTGTTTGCGAATGCTGTGTGTGTGCCTGTGTGTGTGTGTCTCTTCACAGTCCGCGCTGTTCCATAAAGTGTAGTTTTATCTGTTTTTTAAAATCAGATTCTACTGCTTGACTGAGTTACATGATGTGGAATAGAGTTCCATGTAGTTCCATGGCTCTCTGTGTACATCTAAGGGCCAGCAGTGCTAGTCTGTTCTGGGACAATTGTCAAGAAAGTGGAGCACTTGTGTTAGCTCCCCCAAGTTAAGCCATAAGTTCAGAGGGCTAACAGAGTCTTGTGAAAACAACCCAGGTTCAAATCCAGTTGGTTACATCAGCACATAGGCCAATCCTTATTGAAATGACAGGTGGTCCTTGTAAACAACAGGGTGTGATTACTTTTCTGAAAGAATGCATCACATGGAGAGGAAGTGGCTAATAGCTGACATATAGTTGATCCATTGTGCTTGTTTTGCTTAAACTGATATCAGTGCCTATATAGCTATTTTTTTCTCTCAAAATTGGGACACTCCATGATGACACTGGGCAAAAACTGGTTGAATTCAAGTTGTTTCCACATAAAAATATGAAATAAAGTGATGTCGTTGAATCAACGTGGAAAACTGATTGGATTTGAAAAAAGTCAACAAACTTTTAACCTAATTTCAATGACATGGTGCCATTTTTTGTTGATTTCAAGTTGAATTCACGTTAGTTGACAACTCAACCAAATGTAAATCAAAACTAGACGTTGAACAATGTGGGCACATTGCAATGCTTGACAAGACACTTGACATACCTGACATGACTGTTGACATGACTGTTGACATCTTGTTATTGGAAAAATGTAAATACAGAATAAGAATGAGAGTATTCTACATTATAAACGCGCACAGCACATTTAAGCCTGGGACATCAATGATTCAAAGTTGCCCTTAGTGGGAGTGACAATATAATTCTATGGGAGTGACCTTACTGAGTAAAGTAGAAGGTTTGTCGGCACTGATGGTTTGTTTAGATAGCAGGTTAGGAGAACTAACGTGGCAGGTTAAGATAATTAACGTAGCAGGTTAGGAGAATGAGGTTAAGGTTAGGAAAATAGTTGGGGTTAGGCATAGCTAAAATGCCTACAGTTGTCAACAACTGGTACTGGTAGCAACAACTGACAAACCATCAGTATCATTACACCGGGCAGGAACTTGTGGTGCGCACAATACATGTACGGGGAGGGTTTAGGGGGAAGGTGTTGTAGGAGATGATTGGTTGGTTGATTAAGCCGACTAAACCAATTCTTATGCGTCTGGAGTTTCTCGCAGTCTTTCTGTATTGGCTAATGAAGGCCAAGTTTGACGTGTTGGTCCACCAGACTCTTCACGTATTTGGGCGGAAGTGTCTGGGAATGAGATTAGCTACATTACCATGCAAACTGCATATCCTAAATTAGGTAGGACTAGGCTGCTATTGATATCCCCATTCAGCATGCGTGAACTATTTTCATGATGTATTTTTTAATGACATTTCCTACCGACACACGTCAAATGTAACCTAATCTGACACAGCCCAATTACTCGAAAGACCACACAGTCACACACTAACAAAAGAGGGTTCCTCAATGGTTCTTTGGACTGGGTGATGGTTCTGTGTGGAACCATAATGACTCAAATAACCCTTTGAGCCCTTCAATGGTTCTTTGCAGTTCACAAAAAGTGAACTTTTAGTGTTAACAGAGATCTGTATATAATGACGAGATGCTCATGTCTCCGCCCTAACAATAAGAGTCGTTATCCCAAAGGCGGGAAGGCAGGCGACAAGCTTAGGTCCAAAATAAGACCATAGAAACACATTAGGCTTATTTTTGACAGATTTTGGCGACTGAAACCTCTCGCTTCACCTCTTCCTCTCTGGTGAAAATTAAAAAGTAGGGGCGGCAGCTCATTCAAATATTTTGGGGTGTTTTGCTCAGATCGCTTTTTGTGCAACCGTGAGTGAAAGTGTCATTCCAGTTAATCTAATCTGTTGTGTTATGCTGTTAGGTGTTAAATATGACTAGTGAAGGTCTTGTGACGGACTCATGTCTGGCCATGCATCAATTGAGAACTGTGGTCTAAATCAGTGGTTCTCAAACCTCTCCTCAGGATCCCTCAGCTGTTCCAGAGTTTGCACATCTGATATAACCAATTAACACAACAATAAAACCTATGGAGATTTAACAATATAAAATGGCTAACCAGAAATTAAACCTGTATTGTTCTTCAAAAGGTTGTATCTAGATTGAGAAAGGTTCTATAAAAAGGTCCACAAAGGTTCTACAAAGAACCATTAAAAAAAATTATATACAGCACCAAAAGGGTTGTAGCGATAGTGGAACCCCTTTTGAGGCTACTGTCACAGGTGTTATTATTAGCATATTCAATCTAACAAGTGTTTTCATTGGCTAATTGACTTGTCATGTGATTATAGCTTAACGTATTTGAACCCCCCATGTTTTTTTGTTTCTTGGCAGCTTCCCACAGGAAGTGAATGTTGTCTGGAAGAATGGTAGCATGAGTGGGCAGAGCGCTTATGGTTATGTTTGGTGAGAGCACATGGCTAATGAAGTTTGAGCTTTAATGGAGAACTGGAGAAAATGGACGCCTGCCTCCTGGGCTGCAACACTTCATGTGCCCCTTTTGTTTTCTTTGGTTTGTTGGTGTTTCTTGTGATAAAAAAAAAATCTATCTTGGTTTAAAAGTTAAACATATGAGGAAATTATATTTATAAAAGGTTTGGAAACTGTAACTAGATAACTGACAAGTTGAAACTGATTGAAAACCATACCTTACAAAATCAATATTCAAAACTGTCATTTGTTGTCTGCCTCTGCTTTCAAACTGCCTGCTCAAACCAGACCTTAGAACCTGTCACATTCCACCTCATGACACTATAAAACCTTTTTTAAAGTGATTTATAGATCAAGGGCGGCAGGCAGCCTAGTGGTTAAGAGTGTTGGGCCAGTAACTGAAAAGGTCGCTGGTTTGAATCCCAGAGCCGACTAGGTGAAAAATCTGTTGATGTGCCCTTGAGAAAGGCACTTAACCCTAATTGCTCCAGGGTTGACGTCAATAATGGCTGATCTCTCCGAGGGTGTCTCAGTGGGAGTTGGGCTATGCAAAAAACACATTTCCATTTCACACCTCGCACAGGTTACCCACTTGTACATGAAGTTAAACAGAATGTACAAGAGGATATGTTGGCAGTGGGGCAGCTTTTTAATTGCTCGGGGGTACTTCTTAAGTAAGGAGTGGGCTGTTCTCTGTGGGGAGCTCAAACTTTATCCCAGTGTCCCAACAATACACAGAATCTGGAGACGGCGGAGACGCCCTGATGACATTGCACTACCTGCCTGCCCTTGGACATGCTGACCTGACCACCACCTCCGCTGACCATCTAGCTATGAGCTTCCAGATCCTCTCATGACCGCGGCTGCCCATCTACTGGAAGTGTCAAGAAGCACTCAAGACTTGATCTAGCTACTGTTATAGCCTACATTTATTTTAAAATTACTTTTTGTTTATTTTGTTTAACAAGCGCTTTGACATTTTATCTGTAATGAAAATCACTATAAAAGTTTAATAAATTATGTATTATTAAATATAAGAACCCCCTATTTGAGTTTTTTAATGGTTCTTTATAGGACCTTCCAAAAAGGGTTCTATATAGCACCAAAAAAGAATCCGCTATCATAACAAGCCAAATAACCCTTATTTTGCAATATATAACCATTTGTTTTTAGTGTGCACTCAACTCATCTATGGGATAGCCACCCCGTTAAGCAGAAAGGAACTGACATTTTATTTTTCAATGGTAAACGGCCTGAATTAATTATCTTCATTTATCCACCATCTTTGGCCCAGCTACTAATAAACTGCGAAATAAAGTATTGAGTTAACATTAAGAAATAACATCCAGTGACAACGGTAAGTTCCATTTTGCTTAATTTTAACGCTATGTATGAAAACATATGTATGAAAAACAGCCTACCCAAACACATCCAGAATAGTAGAATGCCCTGTATCGCCATGATATGCTCAACAAATGCAAATCCGAGTGCACGCGCACCTGAGATCACACCCAGAATATGTAATTCTATTGGATCACATTCACACCTCATACAGGACTGTTTTAATTTCTTACTGAAGCTGAAGTGCCCGTGTACACCCACTGTGACGAAGTACATGCCATGTTTGTAGTCATTTGCAGACGGGTCTCTACGGGAATACACATAGTTTCACTTCCATTTTAGCCTATTATATAAAATTGATTAACTTCTGTTCTGGATCATCATCTTCATTGCTGTAGTTCTACGAATATGTTTTTTCAACTCGTCTGCATTCTAGGTATGTTGTCATTTCTATTTAACAATGAATTTGATATCAGTCTAATTGGCAGGCTCACCTGAAATTATGATTTACCTTGTGTTTGTCTATAGCTGCCTCCTTGCAAGGTGTGCTCACACAGGATAGGCCTACACAAGAGGTGAAGTCAGTTTGTGGAGAGGACTCAATTCTGAAATGTAAAGCAATATGTAAGCCTGGGGTCCATTACCGGGCAGTGAGGTGGTACAAGGTAAGCTTTCTATTATTGTGATAGCACAAACTGTGTGTTTTGAAGCATGCAATATATGCATTTTTTTATGACATTTCCTACCGACACACGT